CTGCGTTAACCATTTCATTTTCGGAAAAAGAGTTCTGAGGCTACAGTAGACATGGCAGTTAAAGCTCCTAAGCTAGGCAGAGGTTTTGGAAAATGACACTATGTTAAAATGCTTAAGTATAATAGCAACGTAAAACATAGAATTATAGAATGCAGATTTTATAAGTAACTGAAATGCCATTCCCTGAATGGTTTCCTATAGAATATTTATCATGGTACTGCTCATCCAGTCTCAAAAAGCAATTGCAGAATCATCACAGGTGATCTTGACAGGAAAAACAAGAAGGACCAAACACATGGAAATATCTTTTTTGTAAAGAAGCAGAAAGAGTTTGTTTATAAAAGGAGGAATACAAATATTTAATATAATTACTGGTATTTAAAAAGTAAGTTAGTATTTTCTCTCTGTCTCATAGGAGAATAACAAGGTAATGGTCAATGCAATTATGTCAGCTGCAATAGATAGCGTCTCATTTCATGTAATTAGGAGTAGCACTAATAGAAATAAGCATTTATCCTGTGCTAACATCCAGTAAGCCCCAGTCAGGAACAGAGGTTGCACCAAGGAGGGCTGTAAACATGTAACATTAAATCCAGGCCAGCTGAGGTGCATCCAGCATCCCTGTACTCCATGTCACAAGGAACTGGGACCAGCGGCTGCAGCTGCTGCTGCTGGGGCCCGTATTTAACCTGCAGATAAGAATCAGTGAAGCCAATGCAAATTATTATCTTCCTGTGAATTCAGTGGCAAAGCAACAGTTCAAAGGATTGCTACCCAAGCAAAGAATAGCATAGGCTTTCCCAAAAGAAATAAAAATGAAACAACTGGGGGGGAAAGGGATGCCTTCTCCGTATCCGATGAATTTCCATGAATAATAATGAACATGTTGTTTTCGTTTTTAAGGTGACAGGAGGGGGTGAAGGCCAAGCATAACAAAGAATGAATGGTCAAAGTGGAAAAAGTCTTCCATAACCTTGGCTTCCAAAGTGATTTGAAAAAGCTCCATGTATCTTAGCTCTCACCCAGCTTTCCAGTTTGTTTCCAGAGCTCAGAGGATAGAATTGATGTGGAGTAACTCTAAACCTGAGAAGTAATGACACACAAATAAAAACGTCCAGTTCAAGTTTAGAAGCTGCTTGAGAGCTCAGTGTTGAAGCTAGTAGCTTTTCCATCATTAGGCCATGCTAGTGGATGGAAAAATTATTTAGCTGAAATCTTTCATTGGATGTTTTGCAAATATTGTCACGTCAGGAGATAAAAAAGTGGAGTTGTCTTCTTTATGCTCAAGGCACGTAAATTAGAAATTCTGACAACTCAGGATAATTAGTAAGAATAAATAAGGAAGTATGTAACCAGAGGAAAAGTATTTATGTGATAATTTATGCTCAAAGAACTCAATATTTATTTAAAGCTATTTGAAAGTAATATAATTCTATTTCATTTCCCTTTAAAAGAGAAAAATATTCAGATGTCAACATTGTTAACTTGTCTGACTTATTCATTAGATGAATTGGAGAAGCATTTAGCTTTGCTGTGAAGTGGGAATTGGCTGTCTTTTCAGCATCTCTTAAATCTGGAAAACAGTTGGTCCGTTTTGGCTCCTAAATCAAGTTTAGGACTGTACTATATGGCAAATGAGGCTAGAATATGATAAGGGAGAGGAAACTATTACACTTTTTTATTAGCCAGCACTTTCACACACATGCAGTGGAAGAATCATAATACTAGTGAGGAAAGTTTCCATTTCCCTTCCATTCCATTGCATGAGGAGAGTGAAAGAGTAACCAAAATCCAATTCATTTAAAATCTAATTGTTATTTAGTGATGAAAACACTAAATGATGAGAATGTCTTATAAGTTTATTCTCTCAGTCCTTTCCAAATAATTGCTGGAAATGTTTCCCTAGAGCTGCTCAGCAATTGCATAACCTGCCCTCTCCTCTGGGATAGCAGTGCATATGTCCTGCAGGAAGCCATGGAAAATAGTAGCTTCCTCCTATTTTGATTTAAATGTGACTGAGCACTTGCGTCAATCAAAGTACCAGGCGAAATTATTGTTCACGTCAGGAAAGCAGCAGCTTCTCAAAGCTGCTTGTAATGCATGGATATTTGGCTGAAAAGCCCTGTCAAACTTTATCTCCTGAATAATGTAAGTTAGGATTTAACATATTAGCACTTGATATGTAAATCTACCAGTATGCTCAAATTTTATCTTTTTCTGATTTTTATTGGAAGTCTCGGGATAAATTGGAAAGCTCTTAGCACATCTCTCTCTGTTTTTCTCAGCCTTCTCTCCTTTAAGCCGCATCTTTCAGTTCTTCCTTGTACACCATGTTTTCAAGCCCTCTGGTCATTCATTTTCACTTGGGGCATTCCCTAGATTATCTCTCCTGTTCCTGCAGTGTCTCACCAAGCTAGTATTAAGTAATCCAGCTGAACACAGATCAAATCTCAATGAAGTAGAAGGAATATTTTTGGATTCCTTGCAAACTCTGTTTCTGCTAATGCAGTCACCCTTGCTCATGCCTTCTTGGCAACAGCCTGATATTGTTGACTTCTGTACTCTCTGTTCCCTTTTTTTATGCACTTGCCATGTGCTCAGGTGCTGCCTGTATGTTTACCTCTGCCTAACTGCATTTTCTTGCTCTTGAACATTTTTAATTTCATCCTGTGCTTGCAGTACATCTCCAATTTATCGAGCTGAATTCTGTGCCTGTCCTGCAATGTGTGCTTGGCCAAGCTTAGTACAGGTTTTTCTTCATTTACAATGATACTTAGCTTATTTTTAAAGAGCTTCTTAGCAATTACTTAGTAATTTTCAATTAGCAGTTGCTCTTATTAGTACTTTTACTACTAATTATGATTTTGAATTGAAGTATTTGGCTTATACCTAGTCGTACAGATAATACTGAGTCAAATTATAAAGGGCTTGTTTTCGTAGTTGTGGTTGTTTGGAGAGCAGTGGCAAACAATATACATGAAAAATTAGTCAGATTTCTTTCAATTTCACTGCAATTTGGACGTTCACTCTCCTGTGCTAGTCATATATCACAATTCTCACACGATAACCTAACAACTGGAGTTTCTGAAGGCCCCCTATCATCACAGATTAGTATCATTTTTCTCAGTAAAACCCTTGGTGTTTTGTAGCTGTTTTTTCAGGAAATCCAGTAATGACCTTTTTGAAACCACAGATAGGTGTAGTAGCACCAACTCCTGTGTCATGGCTTAATCCACCCTGGGCAATAGGAATAATTTTGCCCACACTTTGCTCTGGGAATGTGTCTGCTTGGGTCTATTAGTACTATTTCTTTCTTTTTGCAGTAACTCCTTTTCAAAAATCGTTTCCTGTCTTGTAAATGAGATTTTCTTTGTTCTTTTAATGAAAAATTTAGATTTCTCTGTGTTAAAATACAGGCCAGACCTCACTAAGTATTCTTAGTTGGTCTATATTAAGGGCCTGCCCTTCATGTTATTTATATCTCTATAACTTTTTTTCTAATTTGCAGCTTTTTCCATCAATAATTTTGTATTTTGGTTCAGATCATTCAGTATGATTTGGGTCCATTTAGTATGGACCAGACTGATGGTATACATTCCTGGGGCTTTTATCAAAAACTCTGTAGACTTGTGAGCCAAAGCCTCAATGAAATCTTACAGGAGTTTATCAAACTAATTCATGGTCTCATGGGAAAATGGGAAGGTTTTTTTATTCCTGACAAAACTAATTTTCTGTGTTGACTGGCGTTAATTGTACTATCATCCTTTCATTGTACACTGATTTCTTCCTGTACCAGCCTTTCCATCAGTTTCCCTGACGTTGATGTCAGGCAAAATGGTCTGCAATTTCCTTATTAAATAATGGAACAATGCTTGCTTCTTCTCTGTCTTGGGGCTCTTATGTGGAATTTCAAGACACGTTTTGCTTAGTTTGGTTCTTTTTAATTTTATCTTTTAGGGTTTAGGTTTAGGGTTCATACCTGTTAAACTGGTATTATTTTAGTTCTTGATGTTTCAGAATCTTTGCAGTGAACATATGAATTTCTTCTTTAATAGATCACGTGAGGAATGTTTTAGTGGCACAGAGCTGGTGAAGTATTATGCAGTAGACATAAAAATTGTTTTCAGGGCATTTCAGGAATGCACAGACATATTCTGGTACTGAAATAAAATGTTAATCTCTGATTGTGAAAGAGCAACAAAAAAAATTAAACAGTAAATACAGTTAATAAAGAGATTATTTATGTATAACACTGATATTATAACCTAAAGGTATAAGCACAACATTTTCACTGTTCTGAATAATGTGAAAGGAAAATGTGTAAGAGATTGGTTTGTAACTAAAGCTCACTGCAGCACTGCTAGGTGAGTATAAAGGGTTTGCATAGCATTTTAAAGATGCTCGAGAAGAAAATGTATGAGAACAGTCAAGACTGAATAGAGGTTGTTAAACAGGAGTGTGTGTCCATTTCTGACTATCCCATTTGATTTTTGTTTTTGAATTTTGTTTTTGGGAGGGGTATGGCATACTCAGGATCCTTCTGTGTGCTCCTTCACTTTTCATACTCTGAAGACATCTGTGGTGTTGATGTTTGTTTGGCCAAGGGAATCTGAATGAGAGTATTCAAAAAGTACCATTGCTGCTCCCAAATCATCAGCAGTCTCATGGAGAGGTTTTCCTCACAGTGCCTATTCATTCCTCCTTATCTCTTTTTTTTAAAGCTTTGACTGATGTCAGCACCTGGAGCTTTCAAAACCTTTTGATACTTGGTAACTAGTTTCTCTCTGGTAAATAAAAGAAAACTATTAGAGCAAATCAGTGAAATGGATTTTCAGATTTGCCCATCTAATAGCTTGGGGTCAGCATCACTCTGCCTTCCTGAAGAAGTGAAGCTGTATTTCTCAGGAAATTAGTGAGTATTATAAGAGCTGCTGGGTCCAAATTGTGATAAGTACCTAGCTTTTCACATTTGGTACCACAATTCTGAAATTGCTACTTACATTTCATCACAGGCAGGTTGCACACCATTAGGCTTCTGAGGCAGGAGCTTTCCATGGCCATGTGTTTCTGCAGCCTTTAGCATAGTTGGTACTTCATGTGCAGCTGTAAAACCAATGTAAGGAATTAATTAAATCAATTTTTGTTGAAATCCAAATATCATTTGCATTGCTTATGAGCTTTTTTATTAATCTTTGTCCCTCCATGAGATCAGTGAGGACAGCAATAGTTGTAGGTAGCTATAGCAAAATAGAAAGTTTATGGGATTTCACTTAGGTTATAGAAAATGTTTCTATCACAGCTAAAATTGCATCAAACGAGTCACTTGGTTTTAGTCTTACAGTGAATATTCTAAATCACCAGGGAGCTGATTTTTAATCTATCTTTCTACAGCCACAAGGGTTATACTCTCACTTCTGGCAGCTTATACCAGGTCCTAGGAAAGGCAAGAGGAGTTGTGTCAACAATGTGGCAGACCTCGTTTGGCACCTTTGGTCCCAAATGAATAATGTGAGCATCTGAAGACAAAACAGAAATGTGTACCTCACTGGTGGCTGCCTGATCTGCTGGCCTGGGCTCATGGTGAAGGAGAATCTTGGCCACTCACCCCCAAAAACAAGTAGCTGGCTCAGCTCTGCCTGTTCACCATTGTGGCACCCCACTGCTGAGGCCTTCGCTGTGGGTTTTAGAGAAAGGGAGAATGAAATTGTGTGAGAAGAAAGCTGGCAGAAAGAGTGAGGAATGTGGGGACAGAAAGATGGAAATAAGCACATAATTTTGCTGAACTGTTCCAATACAGAGCAATATTAGGGAGGCTCTTGGTGAGCCTAAAACTCCTTCCAGCTGCTTGGGAGCTACTGGCTGTGCCTGACTTTCCTGATTTCCAGCTTCTAAATCTGGTCTCTTTTTAGAACCTTGAAAAAACCCCAGTTTTTATTCGAGCTTATTGAATTTATTTTAATTTTATTTATTTCCAGAGTAAAATGTTTATGTGGATACAAGTTTGTATGGTGTTCTCATGGCTCAAATAGTAATAAGAGCACCCCTGAGAAAATGAAAAGTGACACAGCATGGGCCAGCCTGAGAGGACAGCTGAGTGCTTGCAGGCTGCAGCTTGGCACTCATCCTGCACTGAGCACATACATTCCCTGCTCTGTTCCTCCCTTCCATGTGAGACTGAGTGGTAGAGGTGCAAAATGGACTGAAAAGCAGGATTTGGTGTGTGGGACACAGTATCAGTTGCAGTTAGTGATGTAGAAGAGTTTCTGTGGTTTATGATAATTTTATGCTACCTACACACTGCCAGTACAGTGGCATTACCAGGTAAAAGCGTGGACAGAGAAGTGTTGCAGTACTGGACTTCATTTATAGAGACTTCAGATTCATTTATACTGTGTTATCTGAATTTGCAGTGTGTGCCTTTTGATTAGAACTGCCAACATCTATCTTTTCTGTGACAGCTGAATTACAGGTTTTGTGAGGAAAACCTCTCAGCTGATTAAATTTGTATTGACAGGATTTCACTATGTATTAACAGGAAAACAGCTACTTCAGGCCCCCTAAATCACATCTTTTCCCCTGCTCTTACTTTAAGGCCTTGCAGACCCAGGGTAAATCAGGAAATGTTTGCCAGCACAGATTCTTTCAGTGTAAAAGAAACCAAGCATGTCATTGCCAATTGACCAGAGTAGCTCTTTTGATAAATTTATATCTTCTTTTAATCTGCTCTTTGTCTTTCAGATGTGGATTGATTTATCCTTCCAGCACTCCTGTCTAAGGCAAAATATTTTTGTTCATTTATAGGAGGTAAATCACAGCTCTTCCCTCTACATACTTAGTGGCTGACTCTTAATTTCTTCATCTCTGTGTGTGAATAAAAGTCTGACCTTGTTTTGCTACTTAAAAGTACTCAGGGGAGTTAAGAGAATACTGAGTTGTACATAATGAAAACCATCAAAAGGAAAAAAACAACACAAAAACAAATAAATCTTCTTGGTGGTTTTTAATTTTAGTGAGATTGAAAGATGTTGATTTTCTATGGACTGATATTAATTTTAACTGGTTCAGGGAGTTTAATATTACAGCCAGGTAAAACAAATTTTGGCATTCCTGCAATCTTGCAATTCTATTGCTTGCTAGAGGTTGAATTATTTAGAAGGGAATGTGTATAACAAAGAAAGGATATAAATATATCTATGGCAACAAAAGGAGCAGGAACTGGAATTCTATAATGTTTATAGTTACTAATAAGGAAAGGAAATAAATATAAGTTGTTCTTAAACAAGCTGGTAAAATTGAGAGTGAATGCTGCAAGTTCTCCCAAGTACTTTCCAGCCATAAAAACTTGCAGAAAGTAGATTTTACCACAGATACAGCCCAGCTGAGCATCAAGCTGAAACATGCACTCTACTCTTGTTTCCATTTGCTAACAGGCCTGACTTGCTTCAGGGGTCCCTGCATGTTCTGGCTGTTTTTCATTCCAAGTGGCTCAAAACTTTAGGACAGTTTGGTCCCTTCACATCTCAGTAGGAAAGCTTTGGATTGAAACAAACTCCCTTGTTCAAAAACAGAGTCAGTATTTCTTTCTTTCTTTCTTTCTTTCTTTCTTTCTTTCTTTCTTTCTTTCTTTCTTATTTTTTTTAATTCCCTGAGGATTCTTATTCTTGCTGTTTCTGAAGAGTTATGCTCATGAATATTAATATAAAATAATTTCTGAAGCTCTTAACAAGGAAATTGAAAAAACATAAGGGTGAAATATCTGAAATATCTTTCAGTTTGTGTGTTTATAAGTATCTTTGATTATCTATCTGTTCCTGCAACTCCAGGACCCTTCAAATTCACTAGCCAGCATCAAGCATATCAAGTGGAAAGATAAATATAACAAAATACTGTGAAAACCTCAAAAAAAAAAAGAGTGTCCTGTTGAAAAGAGACACTGTTTTCATGCCTTCATCAAGAGTCAGGGTGTCAGTGACCATCTCAGAGGGGACAGCACCCAGGCAGCAGAGAGCCAGCAGCCTGCTGGTGCTGGAGCTTCAACTGGAGCTCTGCACAGTCCAAGGAAGGTGTTTATATGATTCACTTCAAAACCTGGCAGCCACAAAATACAAATAGAAAATAATGCAGCTGGATTTATTCTGATGCTCCCAGAGCAAAGAGCTCTCTTGCTTCAGGCTGGACTCTGTCTGCTCTCTTGCTCCTTTTCCCCTGCTAACATCGAGCTTACATCTTACCCACTACGTGCAAGAAGAGTGTGGAGACAGCATAATTTTCTTACCTTGCCTAACTTTGCCCTCCTAGTTTTAGTTTCTTTTGGAAGGAATTGAAGAAATGTCTCTCTGCACATCGACTTTCCAGCTTCCAGCTCAAGAGTAAAGTTCTTTTCTGGTGTCCCCACCACATTTCACCATATTCTGTTTCGTTCTTGCTCTTATCATCACCAGTGCTTGAAAATACCTTACACTCTAGTGCAAGAGCAAAATACCCTCCCCTCAGGAAACTCTTCTTTGGCAGCACTCAGAGACATGAGTCAATAGCAACAGAGAGCCATCATTATCTGACCATGCTGCTGCTTCTGGTTTGTTGCTCTCCTTTTGATCTCGCTGTGTTCTGCTCACAGGCAGACCTGTGCTGCTTAGCAAAGGTCCTTGGAACATGGACCAGGCCTTTGTGTTTTGTACAGGGTGTTTCTGTTCTCTGGCTGAATGTCTTGACCTTTAAAAGGCAACTTTGAGACTGTCAAAATGTAGTTTATTTAATCAAGAATCTAATTGGGAGATAGCAACTCTGTTACAGGCCCGAGATTCTGTGTACTGTTCATGCCAACACAGCTTTGCCCACACAAATGTTCATGGAGCTCAAATAAAAAGAGCTGTAAATAGAGAAGAAAAGGCCTTCAAAATGATGAGGAATGCTTTCCTAATATTTACGTTCTTACTTGTAGGCAAAATTTATTTGGCAATAAATAATAAATAAAATTGTTGGCAATATTTGAATTCAACTTAATATATTTTTATTTGAAAAATGAAATACAGCCGATACATCTTTCCTCAAGATTAGTGACCTCCAGTGAGCTAAGCACAATACAATGAACTGAAGCAATTTAAAGAAAACCATTAAAGGTAAAAATATTTGAGTAATCAACAACAATGTTCCCTTCAGAAGAGGGCATTACAACAAAGCTGGTTGTGCTGCCAGTCTTGTTGATTTTTACTGACTACAAAGCAGAATAGAAACTTTCTCCATAAATCCCTGGGTGCTAATGCAGGAAGGTGGCTGTGTAATTTGAGCTGTCTGACCCTGGCAAAGGAGCAAACTGTAAGCTCACTGCCGAAAGAAATGACTTAAAAATTCAGTTCTGGGAGGAGAACTTGCTGCTTTATTAATGTTTATCAGATTAAAGAAGTTAAATAACTGAAGCAATATGAGCAGTGCATAAAAGCAGGGGAGTGAAAGGAAAAAAACCTGGTTTTGGAGTGTGCCATGGCCTCTATCACAGAGCCTCTCATTGATCTGCCTTCCAATTCATCCTGTCAAGCAGCTGGCATGGCCTGGGGTCCACAGGCAGAGGAGCAGCACCGTTCATACACCCTGCTGTCCTGAGCACAGATCACAGATGCTTTCCCTGATGCCTGGTAGTTCCTAGCCAACTTCCAGAGCTTTGGCAGAATCGTTCACAGATGTCTGACACAAGGGGATGACACAGAAACTCATACAAAAGGGATATGAAGTTAATGCATGGTCAATACTGTTGTCTTTGTAAAGTGTATCTCCATGAATCTGGTAGGAAATGATATGTGCACATTACATTAAAATTCCTTCTTGGAAAGTATATATCCCAGAAGTTAAGGAAAGAGGCTTTTTTATTTGCATGTGAGAGTTTTAATGTGCTTTGAAAGGGATTGATCTGTCAGTGCTAGGGCCAAGATTCTTATCCCCAGAGCACAGTGATCCTCATCCCCAGAGCACGGTGCACAGTTCACTCTTCCAAGAGCCTTTTAATGTGTCATTCCAGGCAGCTCCACAGCCCAGCAGGAAGGGGAGGCTGGGGTGGCATCCTTCTCTTCTCAATGCCACACTTCTGCTGTGGCTGACTAAGCCTGCCC